TGGACATCCTATTCGTGCATGGCTCAAGCTTTGCCCGGGCATCTAACACCTTTGTCGGTGCTGTGTTCGAACACTTATCCAGGACAGCTTGCTAATTCGTACACGAGCTTCGAGACTTGACCGCAGTGGTTTTCAAGCTTAATTCCAGAACTATAACGACTCTTGATCCAAATCTTGAACGCGAAATAATGATGTAGTCCCCTATCTTGTAGCATAGAACCGTATGTCATTATACACCCAAAGCATTTCGACACCGCTTTCATGTGCATCATGTGTTCGCGTCGTTCTCGTGTCTCCCGTTGGTTTGCGTTTGGTTTAGGGTTCAGCGTTTTTCGGATGGCAGGGGGGGGGTTCAGTGTTCCAGCTTTACGGTGTTTGCTTGTGTGCCGGCTCCCAGAGCCCTTCCCTAAGCCCGATTCAAGCCTGGAAACCTAGCAACTGAAAGAAGACCCAAATGGGAGTTTCCGAAAATTAGGGGTACCTTATTTTGGGGTCCTTGTAATAAGGATCCTACACATTACGGTACTATATCTATTTTCGGAACTCCCAAATGCTTAAACGTGTAAACGACCCAAACAACAAACCCGAGACCTGAGCTTCTAAAATTCTTACACCTTCGCCTAATCCCGTCACCCTGTGATCCCAGGGTATATGAGATTCTTCTAGTAGTAGCACCCGAGCACAGAGCCGATCCAATCTACTGGAACCCGAATGCCCGTGAAGCCTACTTAAAGGATCATGGGACTTAGTAACTGGGGTTATAACTAGGGCAACTCTACTTGTCTACTTATAACTCCTACTAAGGTACTTATAACCTTACTTAAGTCCCCTGATCCTCCAAGTATACACCCTGATGCTTACATCCGGAACCTGTCACCCCAAAACCCAAACCCGCAACTTCAAGCCGCAAAACCCCAAAACCCTAAATCTAAAACCCAAAACCCCAAACGCCGCCAACCTCCCACCTTAAGAAAGCAATCTGGACCTCACAAAACTCTAAGAGATTCAGCCGCCGGAGCTGTGCAGGCGAGCCGGGATCGCGAAAAAGGAAGCGTGCAGCGGCATCGCCCATCATGCCTCTGTCTAAGACCTTGTGTCGGTTGAATGTATCGTGGTCTCACAAGTTTCAATATTTCGGCTTTAATGTTTGCTTTAACTGATCCATTCTCATATACGGGCCTTATCATTGCCTATAGAATTTTGGGGGTTCCTTTAAAGGGGTCTGTAAGGGCTGATATAAGGGTTAAGTGTAGGGGTCAGCATCGCTCTACTTGCAGTCTCTGTTGCAGTTGGTTAGCGTATACGATGATAAATGTACCGCAATTACGCAAACCAAAAGAGGAACCACAATGCCTACTCCCCCGACATCCTTTCCGGAGCTTTGCATCCCATCCCGGGAGCTGCAATAGAAATTTCGGAGTCTCCCAGTGGTGCCGCTTTGTTTTGATATGTTTGGCGTGGATGCCCTTATGGTTGAGTGGCTACTAAGGGTCATCGTAGGTAAGCGCAGGTAAACTAGTTGGCGTAAAGGTTTTGTAGAGATGTTGAAAGGTCTCGGTATGCATGCATGTATATTCATCCGTGTATACATGTACATTGGTATGCAGCATACTCATTCATACATGCCTGCAACACACCCTAGCCCAGGAGTTGCTACCTGCATCTTAGGTGGCATGGTGCAATTTGTGGGTTTAGGGTGTTTCAACGTTTCGGGTTTGGGGGCTATAGAGTTGATAAGCTTAGGCGCTTCTAGGGTTAACTCCTTAGGGTCTGTGTTGTCGAAAGAAACCTCTCAGATTCCTCAGTTAAGTGTTGCTATTGGGTAGCTCACACGGTGTAGGGTTTAGAGTTCAGGGTTCAGGGTTTTGGGTGTAGGGTAGCTCACTACAGTACAACATGTGGTTTTGCATTTTGTTGCCGTAGCTGTGCCCGGTTCTCAACGAGCTCTGGCTGAACGCAGCTGGAGGTTCCGGGGAGAAGGGTGTAGATCCCATGGGTCTGGGGTTCGGGATGTGAGGCTGGGGGCTGATTCCTGTCTAGGATGCCCAATAGTGCCTTGACTCCCTTTTTGTAGTCCTAGGTTCCTTATCAAGCTACCCAATACCAAAAAGGGAGCCCTTTTTATTCCTAGGTTACTGGGCATCCTAGCTGTAAAAATTACACTCGAGTACATGTATTACTGTGAAGTAATAAGCTGTTGACTGTCGGGATTGGCAGTGTGCTGAGTTGTCATCAACCGACAATCACAGCGACATAGAACTCACAAAAACCACAGCAATAACAACAGAGCAGTGGAAACAATGTTTAGTTTTTCAGTAGGCTCAATAGGAGCGAGAGTAACAACTAAGAACCCCCCCTTTGCCGGAAACAAAGCTGCTGTGAGCCAGTGATCAGTATCTCGAATGCTTGCGCCGCGGTATTTCGAAGTCAAGTTCTATTATCCACCTTTTGTCGCTGTGAAGAGTCTTGCACGAGCCATGGCTCCCACAGGAACACCCAGGCATCCAGCCTGCAGTTTGCTCATGCTCCATTCATGTCCTCTTCTGGCATTGCTGCTTATACTACTGCTACAGCTACTTCTACAGCACTGCTACTTCTACCGCTACTGCTGCTGCTGCTGGTGCTGGTGCTGTTAATGTTGCTGCTGCAGCTGCTGCTGCTGCTGCTGCTGCTGCTAATGCTGCTGCTAATGCTACTGCCGCTGCTGCTGCCGCTGCTGCTAATGCTGCTGCTAATGCTAATTCTAATGCTACTGCTGCTAATGCTGCTGCTGCTAATGCTGCTGCTGCTGCTGCTAATGCTGCTGCTGCTAATGCTGCTGCTGCTGCTAATGCTGCTGCTGCTAATGCTGCTGCTGCTAATGCTGCTGCTGCGAATGCTGCTGCTGCTGCTGCTGCTGCTGCTGCGAATGCTGCGAATGCTGCTGCTGCTAATGCTGCTGCTGCTAATGCTGCTGCTGCTAATGCTGCTGCTGCGAATGCTGCTGCTGCTAATGCTGCTGCTGCTAATGCTGCTGCTGCTGCTGCTGCTGCTAATGCTGCTGCTGCTAATGCTGCTGCTGCTAATGCTGCTGCTGCTAATGCTGCTGCTGCTAATGCTGCTGCTGCTAACGCTGCTGCTGCTAATGCTGCTGCTGCTAATGCTGCTGCTGCTAAGGGCGAATGCTGCTGCTGCTGCTAATGCTGCTGCTGCTGCTGCTGCTGCTGCTGCTGCTGCTGCTGGTGCTGCTGCTGGTGCTGCTGCTGGTGCTGCTGCTGCTGCTGCTGCTGCTGCTGCTGCTGCTCATGCTGCTGCTGCTGCTCATGCTGCTGCTGCTGCTCATGCTGCTGCTGCTGCTCATGCTGCTGCTGCTGCTAATGCTGCTGCTGCTGCTAATGCTGCTGCTGCTGCTAATGCTGCTGCTACTGCTGCTGCTGCTGCTAATGCTGCTGCTGCTGCTAATGCTGCTGCTGCTGCTCATGCTGCTGCTGCTGCTCATGCTGCTGCTGCTGCTCATGCTGCTGCTGCTGCTGCTCATGCTGCTGCTGCTAATGCTGCTGTTGCTGCTAATGCTGCTGCTGCTGCTAATGCTGCTGCTGCTGCTAATGCTGCTGCTGCTGCTAATGCTGCTGCTGCTAATGCTGCTGCTGCTGCTAATGCTGCTGTTGCTGCTAATGCTGCTGCTGCTGCTGCTAATGCTGCTGCTGCTGCTGCTGCTAATGCTGCTGCTGCTGCTAATGCTGCTGCTGCTGATGCTGCTGCTGCTGCTGCTGCTGCTGCTGCTGCTAATGCTGCTGCTGCTGCTGCTAATGCTGCTGCTGCTGCTAATGCTAATGCTGCTACTGCTGCTGCTGCTGCTGCTACTGCTGCTGCTGCTGCTGCCACCGCTGCTTCTTTTTCTTGTGCCCAGTGCCCTACTACCGCTCCAAGCCAGGAATGCGGCATCGTAGGTGCTAGGGTGATCATGAGAAACGACTAGGTATGTGATAGCTAGAAGCGCAGCAGCACCACAGTCAAGAACAACAGTCGTGATCTAGCAACAGTTCGAGCAAGCTCCGAGGCACACATGCTCCTTATGAGTTTATGGCATGTGAAGTTTGATGCAGGCTCCAGCAGGATCGGTGTTGTAGGCTCTCCTTGGTATGCCCCCGAATTCGACTAAGGCAGTCACAGACAAGCAGTCCGTCATCGTCCGTTTCTACAGTAAGGTCTACACAATTCTGGAGTCGCAGTGTTAAATTATTCTTCCTTGCACACCGTTTTCGGTAACGCAAATTCCGAATCCTAAGTTCCTGGGCCATGAACGGTTCACACGGGCTTTGAAGATTCAACCTTCAACCCCGCTAATTATTACCCGAAAGCCAGAGGCCCGGGTGTCCTTAAAGTTGAAGTCCCTGCTGTGGTCGGTGTTTCTCATGTAGGATATCAGTGTAGGATATCCTGTCCAAGACCAGGACATGCGAAAGGAGTTGCAGGTGGAGTCAACAGAGAAACAAGTAGACTCTCGTTATTTTCCAACACCGCTACACCTTGAGACTTACCTAAATCCACTAAGCTACACCATCACCACCCTGATGCTGTTAAATTTTCCCCTACACCCTTAACCCCAAACCCCAAGCCTAACCATCCTTAACTGGGCAGTTCTCTAAGCTAGGGTCCCTTCTTAGGCACCCTTACAAAAGGGACCTTAAAAGAGACCCCAAGTTAGAGAGCTACCTCGAGTCTACCCTGAAGCCTAAACCCCTAAACCACTAAAAACCCTAAACTCTTAACCCCTAAACCCCTAAACCTGCGTGTACCTGTAAGGCAGACCTAGGTCGCAGACTCTGGTCATCACGCATTAAAAAAAACCCTAAACCCTCAACTCTAAGCCCCAAACCCTAAACCACCAAACCCCAAATCTAAACACCCTACACCCGAAACCCCAACCCCCCAACACCCTAAACCACTAAACCCTAAACACCAAATCCAATCTCAGGCGACTTGCCGTGCTTTTGCTTTGGCTTTGTGCCAGAGGTGGGATGGCGGAAGCACAGTTGCAAGCAGGCTTAGGGTTTAGGGATTTAGGGGTTTGGGGGGTTTAGGGTTTAGGGGTTTAGGGCTTGGGGGTTTAGGGGTTTGGGGGGTTTAGGGTTTAGGGGTTAGGGTTTAGGGTTTGGGCTTTCGGACATTACTGTATGTGAGGGAAGCTTTAGATTGGCGTTCGGACCTGTGTAGACAAGGCTCCTTCGGTGCATATTTTGGGCGCTCCTTCAGATATGTACAACAGCCGCACTTCATATTGCCGGCAAGGGTTTCTAGCACAGCGCCAACAAAGATTATCGTTTTCGAGAATGGTGAATGCATCACGGAGGTCGGGAGATTTTATGTTTAGCACATGAGGCTTGTGGAAAGCGTGCCGGTTGCGTTGTTCATTGAACCCTATATAAAAGAAGAAGTTGGTGATTCCTGATTTGTTTCGTTTACATCCGAAAGTCCAAGACCCTGTTTGTGGTTGACTTCTACCATGGGAATGATACAAACGGTAGACGCCTGATAGCAGCGTTTATGCGACTACCCGCTTATAGTAGCTTCTGTAGGAACCTTTGAAGTGCCCGTATGGTTACCCTTTAATATGAGCACGAAATAGTGGTGTGACATGTCTTATGTGGGAGCTGCAGCAAAAAAAAAACAGGGAACCCGAGCATGACACCCTAAACACCCGGACCTGATTATTATGGGCCCCATACAAGTAGAAACACCATACGCCCTGGACCGACGGTACCCCCCCCCCTCATTTTCTGCATTCCTCAGGATAAGCCCTAAAGGGCAGCTTCAAGAATCACCAAATTCCTGGAATTCTCCATACGGGGCAGGTCTTTGAGTGTGGAGTCTCTCTGTAGGGTTTGAGGTTAAGGGGTTTAGGGCCTTAGGATTTTGGGGTCTCGGTGTACCTGTGCAATTGTTTTTAGTTGTGTGCAGTCCTTAATGCAGTTCTGATGTTTGAGCTATTCTTCGGTGCCAGTAACCCTACACCCCAAGCCCTAACCGCTTAAACTTAAACCTTAACGTTATAGTGTGAGAACAGTCTTGGTTCGCACTCTTTCGGTCGTGCATCCGTTTTTGTGAGGGTCCTGTTCTGGCATGCGTCCTTGCCTGGGAGAAGTTCCTAGATGACACTAGCGCTACACTCGCCCTACATCCTAAATCCTAAGCCCTGACATATCAGTTCAACAAAGACTATGAGCGATTTCTAAATGTAAATCGCGATATCAACATATACATGTGGATATATATATATATATATATATATAGGTGCACGTGTGCATATATATATATATATATATATGTACACTAGCAGATCCAGCTAAGCCAACACTCAGCACAAGCCTTAAACCCTAAGTTCCATGTCTCATACCCTGCACCCAAGAAGAACCCGAAGCCCCAAACCGACTAGAAATCCTGAAGCCTACGTTCCATATCTAAAACCCTAAACCCTAAGGCTTGTGATCCTGCAAAGAGTGGAGCGAGCTGAATCTGGTCTGCAATGGAGGGGATGAGGGATCTTAACATAAACCGTGGGTTTAGGGTTTATGGTTTAGAGTTTGTCTATGCAGGGTTCTAGAATCGGCTTTATATAAGTCCCGTGAGGGCTCTAAGGGTTTAGTTTAGGGTTGACAGTGTTAGCTTTTAGTTTAGGGGTGCCTATGCCTAGGTAGGATGATGTGCGCTGAAGTTCGTGTTTTGTGTGTGGAAGCTTCAGGTGCTTTGCAAGCAGTATTCGTCATCACCTAATCTTTGTCCAGAGCAGCACCGGCATTTTGATCATCACCACAAGCATCAGCATGATGGTGCTCGCGGTTCTACCTACAACAGACAACCCAAATCATTGGCACCAAATCCACAGCGCTTAGCGACAAACTCCTGAGAACTTGAAGGGCAGGGGACTTAGTACCATAAGTAGGGTAATAATTGGGGTAACGCCATTTAAGGTACTTATAACTCTACGTATAACCTACTTACTAAGTCCCCTGCCCTTCCAAGTGGTCGAAGTCAAGGCGCTGACACTGCTGGGCCACTTCTGCTGCAAGGAAGACAGCACATCTCACTTGCACTCCAGGCAAGCGGGTCGAGCAGTAGGGTTTCTTCGGAGGTTCCTTTAAGGAGCTCTGTATGGGTTCCTTAGGTATGGTTTAGGGCTTGGGCTTTATGGGTTGGGTTTCAATGCATGTATTGGATTTCGAGGGGTTGAGCGTTCTTGGGGTTCGGAGTCGAACATGTATGGCCCCGCGTGGCTTGTCTTTGCATCGCTTTCGGTTAGGAGCTGAGGCTTCAGGGTGAAAGGTTTTGATCTTCGGGTTGGTGCTTTTGTGGCAGCATGACGAATATGGGGTCGCCTATACTGGAAACCGTCGCCGGCCCAATTTGGCCACCGAAAGTTGCTTCAGAAGAGCGCGACACCGTGTTATGCAATCTCACGATCGCAGCAGGTGCGCACGCACGAGCTTCATGTGTCCTGGATGTTGCATCAGACATTTGCCA